GTTTTCTGTTCTATGATAATTCTCTTAGGGTGATGGTCTCTAGCTGCATTCATATTGCTGCAAAGGACATGATTTTTTTTTTTTTTTGACTGTGTAGTATTCCATGGTATGTATGTACTACATTTTCTTTATCCATTCCATTGTTAATGGGTACCTAGGTTGGTTCCATGTTTTTGCTGTTGTGGATAATGCTGTGATAAACATGGGAGTGCAGGTGTCTTTTTGGTGAAGTGATTTATGTTCTTCTGACTGTACTCCCAGTAGTGGGACTGCAGGGTCTATTTTTAATTCTTTGGAGAATCTCCAACTCCTCTCCACAGGGGTTAAACTGACTGACATTCCCACCAACAGTGTTTCTTTCCTCTATAACCTCACCAAATTCTGTTGCTTTTTGACTTTTTAATAAAAGCCATTTGGACTGGTATGAGATGGTATTGTGGTTTTGATTTGCATTTCTCTGATGATTAGTGATGCTGAACATTTTTTCATATGTTTGTTGTCCACTTGTATGTTTTCCTTTGAGAAGTATTTGATCATATTCTTTGCCCACTTTTTAGTGGAATTATTAGTTTTTTTCATGTCAATTTTGGGTGACTGTACTTTTAACCTTTTGAGGAACTACCAGACTTTTCCAAGCAGCTGCATCATTTTATTACAGTCCCACCAGCAGTGTTTGAGAGTTCTGATTTCTTTGTAACCTCACTGATACTTGTTATTATCTGTCTTTATTATAGTTACTCTAGTGGGTGTAAACTGGTTATCTCATTGTGGTTTTGATTTGCATTTCCCTGATGGCTGATTATGTTCAGCATCTTTTCATGTGCTTATTGGCCATTCATTTATCTTCTTTTGGAGGAGTATCTAGTCATATCCTTTGCCCATTTTTAATTGGGTCAGTTGTCTTATGTTATTGAGTTGTAAGAGTTCTTTTAGTATTCTAGAAACAAGTTTCTTTCCAGCGATCCTTCCGCCTCAGCCTTCCAAGTAGCTGGAACTACAGGCACGCGCTACCACGCCCGGCTGATTTATTTATTTATTTATTTATTGTAGAGATGAGGTCTCGCCAAGTTGCCCAGGCGGGTCTTGAACCTGCGGGCTCAGGAAATCCACTCACCTCAGCCTCCCAAAGCGCTGGGATTACTGGCTGTGTGACAGAGTGGAACTCCGACTCAAAATAAACAAACAAGCAAACAAATAAAATTGAAGCAATCTTTACAAAGTGGCAAGTATAGTTTAAAGAATATACTTTTCTTGAACCCTTTGAGAGTAAGTTCTCAACATGATGCCTCATGATGACCATGTTTGTGTGTGTATTCCACAAACAATAACATTCTTCTATATAAGTACCATGCAACAATCAAAATCAGAAAATCAACATAGGTATATTAATACTATATCATCCTCAGATCCCATTCAAGTTTTGCCCATTGTCCCAGTATTGTCCTTTAATAGCAAAAGGATCTAGTCCAGAATCACATGTTACATTTAATTATCATGATTCTTTAATCTTCTTCAATCTGAAACATTTCTTTAATCTTTTTTTGACTTTCATGACCTCCACATTTTTGAAGATTACAAACCAGTGCCATTACTTGTAATATTAACTTTGCTTGATTAAGGTGGTTTTTGCCAGGCTTTTTTTCACTATTATTCCTTTCCCTTTGGTGGTTAGCATTTTGTGGCGAGGTACTTTGCGGTTATATAAATCTTGATCCTCATCGATCTTTCCATTTTTTTCATTTATTTATTTATATCCACATGGACAAATATTTTGCTTAATGAGTTATGAGACTGACAATTAAGTTCACGAACTCATCCTAGAAAAAGTGCTACATACCTCATTGCTGAATATCACTACTGTCAACTTCAATGTATTCCCCTTGAGAAGCTGTGAACCGATGCCAGTGCCTAGTCCACCTGACAGAGCAATTTTGGAACTTTTTTTCTGGAATGGTTATCAGAGCTGCTATTGTATTATCCTTGATGTCCTGAATGTCATCAGAATGTCTTCTTTTCAATGTTTCCTTTGTCTTCGGGTAAAGAAAAAGTCACTGGGTACCAGATCAGGTGAATAAGGAGGGTATTCCACTATAGCTATTTGTTTACTGGCTAAAAACTTCCTTACAGACAGTGCTGTGTGACCTGGTGCATTGTTGTGATGCAAGAGCTCCTTCAGGACCATTTTTTTTTTTTTTTTTGAGTTGGAGTCTCACTCGGTCGCCCAGACTGGAGTGCAGTGGCCGCTCCCGGCCACCGCAGCCTCGACC